ACAGAGGAGAAAGGATTGTGGCGTGGCCGTCTCCCCTGGGGGTGAACTCTCTGTCTCTCTGGGGTGAACTCTCTCTCTGTCTTTCTCCTGTGAACGCCTGTATCCTATGGAAAAAAACAAAAGTAAAAAAAACTACAAAGAGATCAGCTGCCTAGCTAGACCTTGCATGGTGAAAAGACAGCTCCATCCGCCAGTTCCTCTTTTGTTTGGAAAGAGAGGTTATTTTTAGAGGGATTTTTGCTATACTGTGTGTGCTTGCACAAGACAGAGAGAGAGATAGAAAGCGAGAAGTCAACCCCCACGGGGATGGTCACGCCACCCTCCTTATCCTCCTCTCGGGATCTTGGGCACACATGCACACACACCCGGACTGACTATTAAATCGGCTAGGTCAGGGACTCAAACCTCAGTCGACTATGTGGGAGTCCAGCAAAGTAACCACTAACCCATCTGATCATCTACTGGTCAAACTCCCTGCCAAAAAAAAAAAAAAAGAGAGAGATTAGGAGACCCCGTTTGGAATTCTTTAACTACCTCATGGTGCGAGTAACCTGCAAAGGTTTAACCCCCCAGCAGGGTCTCAAAGCACCAGGCAGGAAAAAGGCATTGCATGTCAGGGGAGAGGGAAGCACGCCCCTTACTGAGGTTTCTAAGAACCGAGTTCTGGGAGCTCAGCCTGGGCTACGTCCTGCAGCCCTGCCCAGCAGGGAGAGCTCAGCCTTGCAGAGACCTGGGGTGAGTTACTCCCCGGTGTCTGCGTCCAGCGTGGGGATGGCCCTGCTGAGCACGAGGCTGAGCGTGGGCACCCTAGAACGCGGAATTACTGACGCTGAAACTGTCTGGAAGAAGCCAGTCTTGGGGTACTTCTTTCCTAGGGAAGATGACGGTTTCAGTACTTGCGGGGAAGGATGGGCAGAGAAGTGGTTTCGGATGTTGGAGCTGGACACTGGGCACTATTTTATCTTCAGCCTTGGGGACTGTAAAGGTGTGTGCGTGAAGCATCTGTGTGGCTTTCTCTGGCGTGTACTGTCCCTTGTCAGTGCAGTAGCGTGTGTCTGGAGTCATCTAAGAAGAGGCTGGCTGTTTGCTTCTGCTGTAGCCGTAGTTCTGGGGGAGGAGAGGACGGTTTGGGTACGTGAGTACAGTTTGACGACAGCGAGGCTGATGTTTTACAACTTTCAGATGGTGCCCTACATATCACAACCAAAGACGAAGACCTGCATGGCAACCTGAAACTCATATATGCAATCGATAAAAAAAATCCCAAATACGGGGGCCAGCAGGTGGTGTGGTGATTAAGGTGCTAGACTCCCACGTAGTCAACCACGGTTCAAGTCCTGGACCTGGAGGTTTGAAAATCACACCAGGTGCACATGTGTGTGTGCCCAAAATCCCAGGAGGAGAATGGAGGAGAAGGGATTGTGGTGTGGCCATCCCCCCTGGGGGGTGATTTCTCGCTTTCTATCTCTCTGTCTCTCATTGTGAGTGTACGTATCCTATGACAAAGAAAAACAATTTTGCAAATAGCATGCTTATCCTTATGAATTGGGAGTTACGTCTTCAGAGGGAGGAAGCTGTAAGCAGAAAACCTTTAAAACTCTGTCCAGTTGGAAAAAGAACTTAGAGTGTCTGTCCCAGCTCAGGCGAGTGAGGACCGACTGTCCCAGATTACAGAATGACCTAGGACTCGGCCACTCGAAGACTGCCCGTATTCCTGATTTCCGCTGGCGTGTCCTCCGCACGCCTGTCTTGCAGGGGCCTTTCCGGAGCTGGCTAGGTCCTGTTACCGTTTTCCACAACGGAGGTTCAGTACGAGTTTGATTT